TACATACATAAGTTCTCTAGAACTTAGTGTTCTAATTTGTGTTGTATTAGTGTATTAATTTGTAATAGAGCCTAAAAAGACATTACAACTGGTATTCTTTGGAATTTTGACACGGAGGACTCCACAACAGTTTGTGGCAACAAAATGAAGGACCATCTTTGGCAGAATCATGAATGATTGGCAAACTGATATTGGTTGAAAACATTTTAATTACAAAAATCTATTCATTTCTCCATTAGGTAAAATGTAACTTTACTGTACACTTTTCTTGACTTTAGTGGAGAATATAGTTATTCAAATTGATATTCTCCATATTTTCATGGGAGTAAGTTGATTTCATCAAGAAGGGCACATTGAGGGATAATAGCTAAAATCAGTAGCTGTGTTGTGTTAGCAAATAGTTATTACACAAGAGTTAATATTTTCTTATCAATTCTTGCCCAAACACATGTTTCCACCTGTATTCATGTTTAAACTTGTGTATGGATTGGGGTATATATCGTAGAAATTGAGAAAACATGTACAGACCAGTACAAACATGCAAACATATACAGTATGAAAGTGTAAAGAACATGTACACTTCTCTCCCCAGTATGTCGCACAGTTTTTATTTGCTTTGTGTTAAATAAATATTAATGTTCAAATCAATAATAATTAGTTTATATCTAATACAATAGTGTCAGTAGTAATCCATGAGGGGCATTTCTAATTTATGTTAACCAATAATATTCTAATTGGAATGTTTAAAACCCATAAACACTCAAAATTGAAAAATTTTGTCAAAAAATATTGCTACCTAAAAATCCAGTGTTAAATCATTACATTTTGTTTGGCATTTGTTGAAGTTGAAAAATTATTTCTATTGTATGAATACTCTCACAAAAGAATCTGTCCCTCAAAAATAATTTCTAAGGCTCACTGCTTACTTGTATTCCTCTTGAGGCTCCATTAACTTCTTATTTAAGTAAGACATCTGAAATTCTCTTGCATTGCGAATATTTCTAAAGAAGTCATTTCTTTGTATCTGAAGCCTATTATAAAATGTTTTCAAATATTGATCATTCACAACTGAAGAAGAAACTCCAACTTGAAGTGACATAGTATTTATCTAAAAAAAAAAAGTTATAAATAGCATATTTTAATACACCCCTCTTTTTCAGAGAAAGTTTCATTGCAATTAATAGATATATTTTATTCAGTAACATTAATTACTGTTCCAAGTCTTGTTGGTTCTTCTTTATAGGATCTTGCTTGTAAATGCTGAATAACACATCAGTACACTACCTACCTTTTGAAGAGCTAATTCTTGAAGTTCTTTATCAAACCAATAAGCTTTAGCAAGGCTACTTCTTACTGCATCACGTATGTTATCAAACATTTGGTTTATCTATAAAGAATGCATTAAATTGAAAATTAATAATCAAAAGAGTGAAAAAAGATGTGTTATCAATTAGAAATTCGATTGCTCACTTGTTTAATTGTGGCATCTCTCTCAGCATTATGGGAAGATTGCTCCACAAGTGCTGCAAGAGCTAATCCCATATATTTTTCCAGTGTTGTTATACAGGTCTCCCATCTCTCAGCAGGCACCTGTGCACCTGTTCAATTATGTTATACACAATTATGTCTAACACACTATATTGGGGTAATTCAAGAAACAAACTACTTTAAATTGTGTTTTGATAGATCAACATTCCCAAAAGTGAAACAGTGCCAAATAAATAGCAAATAAATTATCTTGCTTAACTGTTTTTAGTACATCGTACTCTCTAAATCTACAATATCTACTGGTTTAAACAATGAACTTGCAATAACTTTAATATGCATCAGTAAGTTAACAGTATAATGGAAATTACTACAACTTAGGATGCAGTTAACTGAAAAAAGAGAACACATTTAAATAAGATTAAGTCTTGGTCTATAAATTACATATGATAGTAAATAGTAAATTTTACACACATTGTTACAAAAACCTTTAAAGAATGTATAGAAAAAAAACAACATATTATATAAGAAAGATTATTTGGAAAAGTATAATTAATATGCTAAGGTACCAGTACTCTATAGAATTTTTTATTTGAGTGAGCAAAAAGCTGTCCAAGCTTGTAAGAAAGTTAAGAAAGTGAAGAAGATGACAGTACAAGCGAACAGATTAGCATGCTTGGAATCAAGGAAAAAGAGAGATGGAGAGGTATTTACTATGTTTTTACAGAGGTTTTACAAGAAAATAGAGAAGTAGCTAGCAAAACCTATGTGGGAACTGTTAGATAATGAAAGATTACAGAGGTTATCAACTAACTGGTTGACAAATTGATCAACTGATTACTTACCAGTAAGAACACGATGGTAAGTCATCTCTATGTCACGAACTTCAAAATTCAAATATGGAATATAAGAAGAGGCAACTACCCACATCATGTACTCATTCAAAGGCCTGCAAAATAATTCAGAATTATGGTAGATAATTATGAGTTCAAACTGCATTTTTTTATTTGTAATTATGATTATGGTAAACCATGGCCTATAAATGGGCAGAAGCTCCAAGTACAAGCAAAAACGTATGATTATGTATTTTTATATTACCCTCTATCTGTTGTGGAAAGAATAGATGAAATTGTATTCATGAACTTAGATGATGGGACCAGTACTTCAGTTTCATTATTTATTATAGCTTTAGGAAAAACAAGCTGAAGAATATCCATTAATGGTATCTGCAAAAGTAAGATTGAATATTAACAAAATATATGATAAATTAATGATCCACACACATCTAATAAAACAACGTAAGAAATAAAAACAATCACATACAGAGCCTGCTTTTTCTCGAAGATTTCCAATAGTGTCCCGGTGACTGCTTGCAACTGGATCCTCTATATCTATATTGTCTGGCATTGCAGTTGCCAGCCGCTGTTGATAGTAGAACATATTTGTGCTGAATCGTTTAGCATCACTACTTCTGGCACCTAAGAGAGCAACTATATCTCGTAAGAACTGCATGAAGGCAGAAGGCACCTGTACAAGAAAAAAAAAACATTTTGTTTATATTTTTGTCAGATATTTTTAAGGAAAAACATTTCACTTATGAGCAAAATATAACATGCATTTACTATTTTTGACAATTATTACTAGAAGTAGAATTATAAATAGCTATAACACTTAAAATTGGTGACCATAATGAGTAAATTCTCATGAGTCAATTTTTAAAACTTTTTAAAATCTTTTAAATTAATTGAATTATTTTTATATTAAATTTCTTTCAAGTTAGCCTTTTGTTAATCACATTAGCTCAATAACAAATATTAGAAACATTTTGTATCATATTTAGGGAGCAGATTTCTGTGACACATACATTCATTTATAATTGATAGAAGCAAAAAAGTAACCAATTAAACACAAAACGTGTCTTAGTCTCCGATAAAATCCATGAATTTTTGTGAATCTTACAGCAAACATTAGAAATTGAGGCAGTTACTATTTTATCAGTGTTTCAGTACATTTGCCTGAAAGAAGATCAAAATCCAACTGAGTTGTTTCAGTTGCTGTAGTTGATCCAATAAAACGCTGCTCCTGTCGTTAACATTGAAAAATATTTCACATTAAGACAGTTCTTCCTCATAATTGTTAAGAAATAATTGTTAAACAAGAAGTGCCAAAAATGTGAAATCTAGCAATTCTTTATAAATATAATAATATATCATTGAAATACTAAAATATGAAACATTTTATTTTCACCACAATGTTAATAATCATGTCTAAATTACTTTACAAGGGTAAACAGCGGTGTGGTGAAAATAGAAGGTTGTTAAAATCTGCCCCCTATATATCGCAGGTAAACAACAGGGAATTTACAAATTCTCTATGCACACTGGGCCTGCATGCACTCTGCCCTCATTAATCAGGGCAAGAAATTACATGCCATCTTCATAACTAACTTTCCAGGATACGAACCAACATGCTTTTAAGGCAACATTAATTTTTCTAAATAAATCAGAAGAAATATAGTAATTTGTATTGTAACAAAAAATACTGAGCAAATGAGCAGAATGGTACAAAAAGATAGAAAATGAAATACTGTTAGTTACAAAAGGAACATGCTTATTTGGGGTTGAAAAAAATATTTTTTTTTTACTATGATATAATATAAATAGGGGAAAAGAAGTCTCTTTCAGAAGAATATGTATGTTAAACACTAAATTAGCAGAACCATATTACGTCCATTTTGTTCAACCATTTGTTGTTTCAGTAACTTAAGTAATTTTCAAAAATGTATTTTCAATATTTAATTGTGTAGATTTAAAGCATGTGAAACTAAAGCACAAAATCCAATTCAAAATCATTCACAGTAGTGTTTTAATGAACAAATTATGTTTTGATGACATTAAATTCTACAAAAACATAAGCACAGATTCTCTAAAAACTTTATCTTCCCCCTCCTTTTTTAAGAGAACAGTTTAAAAATGTTTACTAAATAATTATACCTATAAAAGAAATACTTCTACTTTAAATATACAGAACTAAATCTTACAATTTTTTCTATCTGCTCTGGTTTACGTACAACAACATGCACACACACACATGATGCAAAACAAACTATTGCTTGCAAGTTACGTTCATGTCATTTAGTCGCTTGAACAAGGACTGCAACGTTGTAA